TATAAAGATCATACGGTATGAATTATTCAATCTTTGATATTCAAAATATTGCCTAATTTGTGAATGGCGGCGGGGTTTTTGAGTTCTACTTATCGTCTTGTACGATTGGGATCGTACAGTGCGTTTAGTAGACATATAGATAATTTTTATTAAATATTTTTGAATTTTTCAAAATGCAGATGGCACTAGTGTTGTCACACAAGATTGGTAGTGCTTATGGAGTGTCCAAGGTCAAGGATTTATTTCATTAAACATAAGACTTGAGCAACACAACTTCCTATAGCTATGTATTCCGCCTCAGTGGTGAATAGGAATACTGAGTTTTGCTTCCTATTGGACCAAGATACTTATGATTGCCTTATGAATTGACAAGTTTCAAAAGTACTTTTTCTATTTATTCTATAACCTGCAAAGTCTAAGTCTGAATATCATATGATTTCAAATGAGGAGCTATGTCTAGGATACCAGATAACTAAGTTCAGGGTGCCTAGAAGTATCTAAGAATTCTCTTAACTGCTTTCATATGGGATTCTTTTAGATCGGCTTGGAATTTAGCACGAAGACATACTAAACATTATATCTTGTCTATTAACAATCAAGTACACGAGTGATCGTATTATCCACTATACTTTTTCTGATTTATTAATTTTCCATTTGCATCCTTGTCTAATTGAATAGCTGAGGTCATGGGTGTGTTAATTGCTTCAGCACCTTCCATTTCATACTTTTTTAAGACCTCCTTGATGTACTTTGACTAAAAAAGGTACCATAATCCCTTTATTTTCCACTAAATCTAAAGAAATATGTAAGTTCTCCCATCATAGTTATCTAAAACTCTCGACTCATATTTTCTTATCCTACTTCATTTTCTAAATCCAACTATACTTCCCTTTGATTTTTATTTAGGCTCTGATACAAATTTCTGTCAAACCCCATTTTAACCCCCCCCCCCAAAAGTCAATCTAGAGTGTAACAGATTGACTTGGGATACAAATTTATGTCAAACCACTTCAAAACAAGTACAGATTTATATTTTAAAACTTGATTTTTTTGTCTTTGATTCACTTAAATACACCAATTGTATCTTTGATGACGTTTTTTACAAATTTGAATTTTAGATACTCAAGATACCATAAATCTTTTTTGTATTTACATGATTGTAGTTTATTAGTATGGTGGGCCCCAAGGGATTCATGTTTCTTGGTACTAATAGGGCCCCTCTTCCTTTATTCATTCTAACCATACAAGTTTTTATTTTCCCTAAAATTCTAAGTTCTGGGCATGGTGAAGAGTTCATCAATCACTTCCGAACAAGTTCAGATGTTCATTGTAAATCCAATCAAAAAGCTCATTTTTATGCTTCCACTTTATTTAATGCAACATGTATACTATTTTGAATATTTCTCTTTATTTGCATTTTATAATTTTAACCTGCCAATTAAATTTGCTGAGTTTATGTTCATGAGGCCGATTATGCTTAGCCATTTTAAAAGTTTTTGATAGCTTGGTTCATTGAAAATGTTGGTAACCACACAACATCTCTGGTACATAGGGGGCATTTATGAACAGTATTAAACATGTTCATCACACTTAAAAAAGCAAGCATGATCAACATCTAAGACACCACCGTCTGAGGGCCTTTGAACCCACCGCATTAAAAGAGCACACAAAGGCATTCAATACCAGCACAAACTGAATAAAATAATATCTTCGCCACATTATAACGATGCACACAAGTACTTGTATTTTTTTTATAATTTGGTACTTATTTTGAAAAGAGGTTGTGACAGTGTAGGTGTGAAAGGGAGATAGGTTGTGAGAGATCAGGTATTTTTAAGGGAGAGGTTGTAAGAGAGGGAATGGGAAAGATGGTGACAATGAGAGGAGGTGACCATGGTGGTTAGCCGATGATGAATTTAGGAAGTTGAGAGTATTGGCTGCAAGCTTTTATAGACGTAAAACAAGCTAGATAGGTTATATACTAGGCAACTGGTGTCATAGCTAACATGTACGGTGAGTGATAGAGTGACAACTGCATCTAGAGCTGATGATGAGTCAATAGCTCCAAGATTGTTGCCAAACAACTGGAGTTGGGTTGTAGGTTTGCTAATGAGCATGGATTTTGGCAATAGACATAGGTGTCAGTGATTTTTAGGTGTCAGTGATTTTTAGTTCTCAAAAACTACACTTTTCCATTCACAGACTGTTAATCCCATTGATGCCTTCCTTAGCAAGTTCCTATCGCACCTCCGTTGCTTCAATGTTGAAGACTTTAGGTGGGAGTTAAAGGAGAGTGAAATAGAAGGGTTTCAGTGGGTGGGTATGACTGGAAGAGAAGGTGAGCATGGGATGGTAAACGCCACAAAATCCGTCGGCCCTTTCTCCAGCAAGCTTTCATCATGACACGTTTCTTTGATGCGAGCAAGTTGTGAGAGAATATGAGCTCGTGTGGGCTCGTTCGTAGCAGGGAGAGTAGAGCAAAAGAGGGAGTTCTTTCTTTTTGCTTTTGTTGTGCGGTGATGGTGTATGGGCATGTACGATACACTAAATTTTTGTGATTTTGGTAGGGTACAATGAATTTGACAAAAACAAAATTATTTGCTTTTTTTTTCCTAGTTTTTAACTTTATTAATAAATTTTTTAAAAAAATGAAACTAAAATGTGCATCAATGTTCTCAGGCAATTCCTCATTTCTTGTAAATCGCAATTTTCTTGTAGTCATCTAGCATGAGAATAAATTTTACATTTCTCCTTTGTGAGATGGACAAGCCAATATATGTGTTAATCATAGCTAATTTCGCATTCCAGATGCATCAACATAATATTTTTCACGAACAAATGCCACTTGAGTGATTTTGAGTGCAATCGTGAAATTACGCTCTAAACTTGGGCAATGTTGTATTCAATTGAATATGGATGCTCCTTCATCTTCCCACACGAGAATGAATCGACGATCGTCATTTTGGGATTGAAAGTTTGGGATAGTACAATCTTCCCCATTTATAAAAATTTCTTCTCCAAAATTTACTCTTATCCTTAAATAAGATACGTATTACTATCTAACCGGATCTCTAAATTTCTCACAAATAATATTCATTAGTCATTCCTATGGTTCTTTCATTATGATCCATATTCCTAGATAATCATCATCTTTAATACCACTTTTGTCACGAATCGAGCCAAAAACTCAAATTAACGAGGTCGGATAGATGGTCGGACAGTTATTTAAATTTCATTCGCTTAAATTTCTAACAATAACTATTTCTAATATATTGAAATAACAGCTATAAACTCCAAATGCATTTTAAATTTTAATGAAAAATAGTACAATTATTTCAACAATTTTTTTCTCTCAAAGGACTACGTCTATATGATACAACTGTCTCATCTTTCACTCCTTTAAATTCTTTGGATAATACTCATATACATTTGCAATATTAGGAGTGAGTTATAATAACTTAGTGAACGTATCATACGTCTAAATTACAATAACATAATAAGATTTTGGAACAATATGCATGTTGGCTTTCATACATAAACTAAAATAATACCATTAAAATTAATTTTGGCAAGTGATCAGAGATTGTATTTTATGCATAGCTAATACTCATAGTGTGGCTTATCCTTTTCCATAACTAATACAACCTTCATAAGAATCTCAATCACAATGATAATCCAGTCAGTTTCCACCTATCCCCCATTCTTGTTGCAAGTCTCGATCACCCTCCCTCTCTATCTCGCATAGTCCTCCTCTGTCTTCCTATTTCTCAGGATTATACAGAGACAAAACATCTCATCTACTTCACACAACCAAACGATAGTCGATCCTTCATGTCTCTTTCATTCGCTCTCTCTTGAGACTTCTCAATCGACCCCTCACTTCGTCTTCTTAAGCACCAGGTAATGGGATCGACTAATCCTTCACCTTCTTCATGCAACTCAAAGCGACGGGATGAAATCCTTAATCTCCTCAACACCAAGTAGCAATGGAACTCTATCTCCTTAACACCAAGCGGCTATGGACACTCTTTCATCTTCCCATGCGAGAATGAACCAACAATCTCCAAATTTGGGATTGAAAGTTTGGGATATTATATATGTGTCTAATGTTTTTGGGTTATAGAATAATACGTTGTTTCTTTGTTTCTTACTCCTTTTTCCATGTTTTTCCAACTTCCCACGTAAGCCTAGCTGCAGTCAATTTCTCTATATTTTTTTCTGTTTGGGGAGTGTTCTCACGAAACTGAAGTTGGGCCTCTTAGTGTCCAATAACATTTTGGTGCTCTTGTTCTTCAACTCCACCTACTCACCTAAACTGTCGTGTTCACACCCACTGTTGTGTTCACACCCACAAATTCCGGTCATGATTTTGCCTACAACTTATTTTTACCATGGAAGATGGCACCTAAGATTTTACCAGGTTGTCAGATCATGTCATCAACAGACTCAATAATCTTGAAGATCAACTTGTCTAAACTACTATGAGCTACTGAGAAGCATGTCTCAAATTGCAAAAATTTGAATCCTGCCTAGATCAAATGGCCAGCAATACGGCAACAACAACATCATCCAATGGTTTTTCTGCTACGGCTCTGCAGTTCATTGCTATTGCGACATCACCTTGTATAATATTGCCTTAAGGAAATCAAGTTCTCTCTTTCGTGGTTTAATGTCATTGCTCAGCAAAATTGGATTCACATTGCCAATCAACGAATTTCATTGCTCAGCAAAATTGGATTTACAAGACTACTCTTAGCATTTCATATAGATGAAACTTTTTCAAGGGCATGTTTACTACACCTTAAATGTAACTCTGTAATATTAGAGTTGACCATCATGATAAATTCAGTGAAACTCTAACATCATAAGAATTTGAAGTGATACAAGTGTAATTCAACACTTCACAACAGATCTTTGCATCACCTATTCACAAAAGAAACTAAACAAAACATCACACGAAAAAAAAATACATAAGAGAATCAAGATATGAAGGCATTTACTTGTGAGAACATTGTGGCCCATGCAGCACCTGCAATGCCATAGCCACATATGGAACAAAGAATAACATCACCAAGACCATTCACAGCACTAGCAACTGTCAACGCTTTTAAGGGTCCCCACGAGTCTTTCATGCCTAAACTGCAAAAATAATTCAGGAAATTATGATACTTCAGTTGAAAAAATATAATAATTATGGCAACATGATATTAAACAAATGAGGAAATGGTGAAGAGAACAAATGAGATGAACTCTTCTCTTTCAGTCATTTAGTTCCCAATAATCAACCACCTATGTTATGAATCATAGGTGCATTTCATATAGGCACAAAACCCTCTCTTTGTCATAACCCGGCTTGAAGACTCGAATTAACAAGGCGGAAACATATGGTCGGTCAGATGGTTAATATATTTTCGTCAATAACATAAAAAAGTTAATATATACTAACACACAACATATAACCGAATAGCCGCTACAATACATTTTTCAATTTGAACATATAATAATTCAAGTTTGCATGTTACCATTTTTTCCTCTTCTTCTGTAGATGAACTCTTCTCTTTCAGTCATTTAGTTCATAGGAGATTTACCTAACATTTTAAATTTAATAATTTAAGTTTTGTACTAAACTCAGTGGATAATTATAGCTTATACTATAACAGTTAAACATACATAAGATAATCATGTTTTTTTGCCAAACTTTTCATTTAAAATATATAAAAACATGTAATATAAATGTAAATTTCAATCATATATCTTTCAATTAATTTATTTTTTTCATTTTATTTATTACAGGAGCACCATCTATATTTTATATCCATAAAAGTACAATCATTTCCATTTCTTTTTTCATTTAAGGTGTACAAGTACCTTGCATCCTCAGTCGATATCATAAGGGTTTGAAGTAATGTATTTGCATACATGTACATTTTCCTTCTATTTATACTTTCATTTGCATATTACGATTTATTTTATTCATTTCTTTTTTCATTACATAAATATTAATCTATATATTTATTTTTCACATATCTCTATATACATATACATTTATTAATATTACATTATCCATTAAATTGCTTATTATTCTTCAATTTAATGCATAATAAACATATAAACTAGAATCAGTATCCTTAGATAATATAATGTTCGATATTTGCAACGAAGAAACAAAAAGTAAAATTGCTATAAAACAAATATAATCACTCGCTTTACATATTATGGAATGTGGTTGTTTATTTAAGCTACTGGAATGTTATTGTTGGATTATTATTAATTTTTATTACTGCATTTAATTATTATTTTTAAATATTTGGATTTGTACTGATGCAATGCTTAATAACAGATAGCATGAGCTATTTTTTTGTTTATGATATAGGTTTCGAGCGGATTGGCGGTAAATTTCCATTGCAAATGTATCGTTATTTGCGACAAAAATACCAGTCTTAGGGTAACTAATGCTTCGACAATTTTTTCATGGATTTGCTAAATAGGATCTTTAGGGATTTTCTAGATTAGTTTGTCATTTTATTTATTGAAGATATTCGGGTATGCTCTGAGTATGAAGAGCAGTACGTAGTTCATCTAAGGAAAGTCTTAGAAATTGAGACAGCATCAACTTTATACTAAATTCTCTAAGTGTGCTTTTTGGTTAAAGAGTATCATATGTGTGGGACATGTGATTATTATTGTAGGTATATCTATTGATACCAAAAAATTCATGTAGTTTCTAATTGATCGAGGCCAATTACAGTATCTGAGGTATATAGTTTTTTGGTTATGGCCGATTATTATAATTTGTAAGAGGATTTTCTTAGATTTCTATACCTTTTAACCAAATTGAATCAGAAGTCAATAGCTTGGGTTAGAATCCTATGTGTGAGCATGTTGGCTTAAGAAAAATGGCGCTTCGACATGCTTAGAATTCCATGCGTATGAAAAAACTTTAAATTAAACATGAATAATTTCAGGGATTTTAGTCTCGTTTATCAAGGGATGGAGATAAACCCGATCAAGATCATATAATTTTGTCATCCCGGAAATGATGTAAGTTTCAATCTACCAATACTAGCAATCGTTGATCGTAAGTTTCAATCGTTGATCGTAGTGCCCAACGAATCTAATTAGTCATTGGTTCTCCTCTCAGGAATCCTGAGTAAAGTGAAGTGATTAGATGTAAGTTGTAGTTTTATTATGGTTCGAGATTTACATTTGTTAGAATACCCAATAATTGATTTAGTTTTGGGCTTACGACTTCATTTAGAAATTGCCCGGTTGTTTGAATTTCTTCAGGGCTTACGGCTTCATTTAAAAGTTATCGAGAGTTTGATTTAGGTTTTGGATAGGTATTACTGCTTTTATTGAAAGTAGCATGTTTATTTAAGTAGGTCTTATGACTTCTGTATTTAAAAATGGCATGGAGTTTGTTTAAAAAGTGGTTTTAACTACTTCTCTTAGAAGTAGCTCATATGTTCAAATTAGAAATGGGGCTTATGATTTCCATTGGAAGTAGCCCATAGGTTTAGTTTTAGAATAGGAGTTACGACTCCAGTTAGGGATTTGCCCATAGGATTGGTTTGGAATGGGTAAAGGAAGTTGTCCAGTTGTTAAGAAGTGGATCTTACTGATTTCATTGAAAGTAACCAAATTGTTTGAATTAGTTCGAGTCTTACGACTTTGTTTAGAAGTTACTCGAAGGTTTGAAATTGCTCGGGACTTACGGCTTCGATTAGAAGTTACCCGTAGGAATAAATTTAGATTTGGGGCTTACGGCTTCCATTAGAGTTTCCCGTACGTTTGATTTTAGGTTAAGGCTTACGGCTCAACTTAAGAGTTGCCCATTAGTTTAGTTTAAGGATTTGACACTTCTCTAGAAGTTTCCCCAAATAACAGGTCTTACAACTTCCCTTGGAAGTGGTCTGGCTATTTGGGTAAGTCTTATATCTTCTGCATTTAGAAGTGACCTAGTTGTTTTAGGTTTAGGGCTGGTGTACTTCAATAGAAATTTTTCCAAGCATGTGGGTCTTGCTGCTTCACTTAGAAAAAGCCCGAAGTTTGTTGAAAAAATATGGGTCTTACTACTTCACATAGAAGTAGCCCATATGTTTAAATTTGGAATGGGCTTACATCTTCCATTGTAAGTAGCCCGTTAGTTTAGTTTAAGGATGTCTCTCAGAAGTTTCCCTAAATAACATGTCTTACAGCTTTCCTGGGAAGACCGATTGTTTAGATAGAATGTACGGCTTCTACATTTAGAAGTGACCTGGTTACATGGTTTAAAATTGCGCAATAAGAGGCACGCCTCTGAGGTGCAATTTTGTCCCTTTAAGCCTCAAAGCCTACGCAATGAGTTCAGGATTTGAGGCGTACGCCTCAAGGCGCGCCTCGCCTCACGGTTGAGAAGTGTTCGCCTCTAAAAAATTTTTTTTTTTAAAAAAAAAAGCTAACCTAATATATATTTGTTCGTTTCGGACCCCCCAACCCGCATGGTCTTCCGTCATTTCCCGAAAACAGGTTTTCTCCATTCTTCGTCGAGCGACATTTTTCCCTCTTCGTTCGGCGTCGGCGTCTTTCCACATTGAGTTGCTCTTCGCTTATTGCTTGGAGTTAAATTCTACCGCGAGTTAGGTTGGAGTTATCTTCTACCGCAACCTTTTTCTCTCTTCGTTCGACGTCCGTTCCTTCCACATTGAGACCGTTAGGTATATGCTCGGTACCAGTCGATACAACAATGCAGGTCGAACCCCGCCAGGAAGCAGTGCCCCCTTGGACCCCGTGCAGACTGGTATATTGTTGTATTCATCATCTTTAGTAGTAGTTATTAGTATTAGTCTGCTTCTTCATAAGTGCATGCTTGTATAAGTTTTCTTAATATAAAATAAGTGAAGCATTATGTTTAAGGGTTTGATATATTATCCTAATATATTCTTCTCATAAAGGATGGTTAGAAGTAAGGATAAAGCTGCGTCAGGTCATAGAAAAGATCCAGCAAGGAAACATAGCACTCGGGCGGATGTAGGGGGAAGTGATAAAACATATATATATCTAAAATGCAATTACTGTGATAAAGTTGTGAAGGGAGGTGTGACTAGGATGAAAGATCACCTTTCAGGGTCTCACAAGAATGTTGCTCCATGTTCCAAAGTTCATGATACTATAAGGGAGGAGATAAAGTCATACATGAATAAGTCTACGACGTCAAAACATCTTGCACATAAGCTATTTGAGGATAGAGTTGATGTTGGCTCTTACTACGGGAGTGAGCGCAGTGTTAGGGATTCATCTTCTTCAATGAAGCTCATTTCATCTAAGGGTGCTAGAGGGCCTATGGATCATTATATGGTGGACACATCAGAGTATATGCCTCCTACTACAAAGAAGTTGGCCCTAGAAAATGCAAGAGATGCACGGAGAAGAGAGTGTAAGGATATAGGCAGATCCTTCTACGAAAATGCAATTTCATTTAATGTTGCAAGGTCACATGCCTATTACAACATGATTCGTTCAGTTGGAGCACTTGGGAGAGGGTTCAAACCTCCAACCATGTATGATTTGAGAACATGAATTCTGAAGGAGTTGGAAAGCACTAATAAAAGCATCGAAGAAATTAAGAGGACTTAGGTTCAAACAGAAGTAACAATTATGTAAGATGGGTGGTCTGATATTAAACATAGAAGTCTAATCAATATTCTTATTAATAATCCTAATGGTATTATATTTTTAAGATCAATTAAAGCATCTGACCAAGTCAAAGATGCTGAGTTCATATTTGGATTATTAGATAGCATTGTTAAGGAGGTTGAAGAACATTTGGTTGTACAAGTTATGACAGATAATGGAAATGCTTACAAGGATGCAGGTAATAAACTTATGGAGAAGAGGAAACATCTGTACTGGACTCCATGTGTTGTACATTGTATAAATCTGATTCTTGAGAAGCTTGGCGAGCTACCTCAACATAAGAATGCACTTACTAAAGCAAAAAAAATAATCAAGTTTATTTACAATCACTCTTGGGTTCTAGCTCTTATGAGAAAATTTTCAAAAAAAAAAATTCTAAGGCCAGCAGCAACAAAATTTGCCACCGCTTACTTGACCTTAGAGAGCATGTCGGATGCTAGACAACCTTTAGAGGCTATGTTCAC